GGCAGTTAGGTTACTAGAAAGACTATGCCACTGAAAAAGACTAAAGTGTATAATATATTTTTGATAAATATTTTTAATCACATCAATAACTAGTAAATTGGTGAGGAATGCTCAGAAATCAATGATTAAGTGAAAAGGGAACCCAAAGAAGTAAGTATCACAGTGAAGGTGGCTTTCACCTTAAGGACACCTGATGGACCTGATGAACTTGAGAATCAGTTCTCAAAGGTGTCCAGTGCATAAGGAGTACAGGGAAGTCCAGGGCCCACCTGAGGTAATCTGATAGGGGACCCTCCCCATAGGAATCTGAAACCACAAAAGGCTAAACTTTCAGTGTAAAGATGAACAAGAAGTACTTCTGTCTAGAAAACTATAAGGAAAACTGGCTGTCTCAAAACTTAGTGCTGAGTAGGGTTAAGGGGAGTATCTCTCTGAGAATTTATAACAATAAATCAACCCTCACATGAGTTTACAACCCAATTTAATTTCATCTGAGTGGATAAAAATCCTGAAGCCACGAACTTGAGGTGGTGCCTAGCTTGTACTTTCCCAGGCACCTTACAGAATCAAATGTAAGTCATCCGTGAAAGGGCCCATCTTCAATCCAGGCCTCACACTATTCCAGAAATAAATTTCTAAGATACTTAAGCTCACAGTCAATGAATCACAAAATATACAAGTAAACCAAGCATCAAGAGTAAGCAGCAGCAGAGATGGAATTAGACACCATATTTAGATCCACCAGGACCTTGGATATTGGAATTACTAGCATACAACAAAAAGGAAATACAATTATTATGTTTACAGAAAATTAAAAGGATTTGAAAAATGGAAAAAGCAAGTGGTTATTAAAAATGACCAAGCATGTTGACAAACTTCTAAAAGTGAAAAATGTAACAATCAAAATGTAAAATTCAATGGATATGTAAGTTTAACAGCATATTAGATACAGCTGAAGAGAGAATTTGGTGAGCTGGAAGACAGATTTGTGAAGATTATGCATAACTGAGAAACCGATCAAAAAGAGGGGTTAAGTGACATGGAATAGATCTAACTTATATCTAATTGAAGTTCCTGAGAGAAAAGAGAGAATGGGGGAAAGGCAATATAAGAACAGTTGATGAGCAAGAACTTTGTAGAACTGATAAAAGACAAAAAACCAAAATCCACATATTCAGGGACCCAAATGAATTCCAAGCAGGGACAAGAAAAATAAGTCCATAATTGGAAGCATTATAGTGAAAAATGCAGAACACCAAAGACAAAGAGAAGATCTTTAAGGCAGAGAAAAAAAAAATAACCTCAAAGGAACACAATTAGATCTCTCAATACCTGATATCTTGATAGTAATAATGGAAATCAGAGGGCAGTAAGACATGCTGAGATAAACTGTCAGCCTAGAATAGCATAAACATATTTCATGAACTAGTACAAAATAGATATGTAATTTTCACCCAAACAAAAGCTAAGAGACTTTCTCACCAGTAGACCCTCATTAAATGAACTTTTATTGGATATACTTCAAACTAAAGGATGCATAATCCTGGATAAAAGATGAAGGAATAATAAGCAAAGGATGTAGGAGATATGTGGACAAACCTAAGTACTTGTTATATGAAATAATAATGATGTACTGGAGCTAAAAATCCAAGCTAGAACTAGAACACAAGACAACATGAGTACACCATACGTGCATTAGGAGAGGGCTCTTAGGTCCTTGAATTGTTCCAGCGAAGAGCAAAGAGAATGAGTAACTTTGACTTTCATGAGTTAAGAATGACTTACAATTTTTATGGCAGTATATAAAAGGATGGAAATATAATGCACTAATTCCAAAGTAGTACAGGGGAAAATGGAATTGAAAGGACAAACCTAAAGGAAGGGAAGAAAAGAGAGAAAAAATATTAGCAGGACAAACAGCCTAAAATCTAAATGCTGCTATTAAAAGATTATTAAAAATTACTAGGCTGTATTTTTTTTAAATCAAACCTGTCTACATATTGATTATAAGAAACATAGCTAAAATATAAACAGATACAAAAGTTAAAAGATGGTAAAAAGTATACAAATAAAATGCAAAAAAAAAAAGCTGGTTTTTTTTGTACCAAACATCAGATGAAAGAGACTTCAAGATAAAACAAGAATTATTTCACCAGAAGATATGATCATTTCCAAACATCTATGCAAGTAATACCTCATGCATAAAAATTTACCTTCAAGATATATTTCCCAAAATTTACATATTTACATGGAGAAATTGGCATTACAGTGGAAGATTTTCACATTTCTTTCAGTAACAGATCAAACAGAGAAAAAATGAGACTTAAATGTAAATGTTGGTGATTTTAAAAATTTACCGAGGATAGCATAGATAACTTTATACCAATATACAGTTGAAAATGTAAACAAAATAGACAAATTCCTAGAAAGCAGTAACTTAACAAATTTGAGTCAAGAGGAAAAAGAAAACTTGGATAATCCTATTTATTAGAGAAATGTAATCAGGATTTCAAAATATTCCTATGAAGAAATGTCAAGTCCAGAACATTTTTACTGGCAAGTTCTACAAGCACTTAGGTTACAACTAATTTTAATGTTATCAGTCTATTCCAGAGAATGGAAAAACAGGACACGCTCCCATTTTATGAGGCTAACAAAGGCTTGGTAAAACTAAAGACAGTATAAGAAGGAAAAATAAAGGCCAATCTTACTCATGTACATAGATGAAAAAATCCTAAGCTGGATATTATCAAATAATGAAGCCAAGGAATTACTGCTAAATTTTTTATGTATAATAATGGTTTGGGGGTTTTAAAACATGTCCATAATTTTTAGTGCTGCATACTGAAGTTATGTAGGGGCGAGATGACATAAGGTCTAAATTTTGCTTTAAAATACACTTAGGGAGGAGGGAAGGCTGGTTCTTGAATGTTTTAGAATCTGGATGTGAGTTTATAAGATTTTACAATTGTCTCTGCTTTTGGGTACGTTTGGTAAGTTTCATAATAGGACTGGAAACATTGACTCAATTACATATACTCTGATTTTAAAAAGAAAGGCCAGGCGCAGTGGCTAACACCTGTAGTCCCAGCTACTCAGGAGACTGGAGCAGGAGGATCACTTGAGCCAGGATTTCAAGTTTACAGTGAGCTATGATCACACCACTGCACTCCAGCCCATCTCTAAAAAAATAAACATTTATAAAAGGTAGAAAATAACACGTTACCAGGTGTCAGAAGCTAATGCTATACGTGAACAGAAATGTGACAAGATAGGGAATTCATTTTTTAGGAATTTGATTTGGCCTCATCCACAAGGGATCCCAAGCAGAGTGCGCTGCAAGCAGGGCCACGTGTGGTCCCTTGAAGGCAGAGCAGCGATGAGCTCTGGCTGGGCGGGGGCATTCCAGGAAGATGGATGAAGTCCCTGCCTTATCCTAGGTGGAAAGCACGTTGACACACTCAGGATTTCAGAGCTAGAAATGGACCAAGTGCTGCTTTTAGCATGGTCAGAATTAAGGTTAGCCTTTACCTCCATCACCAGGACACAGTGAAATGATGTATGTGAAGGTGCTCAGTGGATTGTGAAGCTAAACAAATCTAAGATACTTGAAATATTTTTACGAAGCAATTACAAGTGCAAAAGGGATGGGGGATGCAGCCACTTTGGGAAACAGCTGGGCACTTCCTCAAGATGCTAAACATAGATTTATGACATGACCCGGCAATTCCACTCCTAGCTGTGTATACTCTGGAAAACTAAAAACGTGTGGCAACAACACAAAACTCGCACACAATGTTCACAGCATCATTATCCATAATTGCCCACGAGTAGAAACAACCCAAATGTCCACAACTGGTGAATGGATGAACAAAGTATAATGTTACGTATACAATGGAATATTGTGTGATTTAGCAATTAAAAATAATGAAGTACCAGCCAGATGCAGCAGGGCACACCTGTGGTCCCAGCTACTCAGGAGGCTGAGGTAGCAGAATCATTTGAGCCCAGGAGTTTGAGGCCAACCTGGGCAACATAGTGAGACCCTATGTCTAAAAGCACAAACATTTTTTTAAAAGGAATGAAGTACTGACACATGCTATAATATGGATGAACCTTGCAAACATCATGCCAAGTGAAAGAAGCCAGACACAAAAGATCACATATTTTATGATTCCATTTACATGAAATATCCAGGGTAGGCAAATCCATAGAGACAGGAAGTAGATTACTGGTTGCTACGTTGAAGGGGCTGGGAAAATGGAGAGTAAGTGCTAATGGGTATGAGTTTCTTTGGGGAGAATTAAAATGTTGCAAAATTAGATAGTGGCGATGGTTGTACAATTCTGTGAATATAGTAAAATCCTCGGAATTGTATCTCTAAAAGGGTAAATTTTGTGGAATATGAATTATATCTCAATAAAGCTGTTATTTTTTTTAAAAAGAATAGGGGAAGCGGGGAAGAGTTGTACCAAAATGGATTTATCTCATATCACTTTACCCTCTCTCTGGGTCCTGAAGTTTTCTGCCACACTCAGGAAGATGCATGATGCTGTTTTAAAACACTTAATTTAGAAAATAACAAGTCTGAAGCAGAAACAATACAGAAGCTCAGAATTGCCCTTTGACTCCCCGACTGCTACCCCTTTTTGTTCTGATGGCTTTTAGCCTGGGTGAGAAGGAGCCTTAGCAGACGGAGGCTCTCCTAATGTGGGCAGTGAAGGGGTAGGCCTCCCATTCACAAATGTCCCTGCCAACCAGCAGTGAGCATATTTGCTGGATTGGTAACATAGCCTATGGTGATTTCCTGAACCACCAAATCTAGTTGTCAGAGTTGCCACAAGTGCAAGCCAGCGTGTCTTTCCACCAGAAATACAAGCGAGGCTCCTCGGCTCCTCGGCTCCAGGTGCTGGGATGACGACAGAGCACCTCCCTGTCCGGTCGGCTTCTCCTCGTCGTGTGCTTTCTCACCCTTTTCCCATCTTCCTTTTGTTTTTCAGTGGCTGCTTCAACCCCGAACTCCACTGCTGGTGCAGCCATGAACTCCTTGACCTCTCTTGGGACTCTGCAAGGACTGGCTGGAGCTACTGTCGGACTGAACAATATTAATGCACTAGCAGGTACCATAAACAGTGAGTATTTGCTGCTCTGGTGGACAGCCTTCCCCCAAATTCTCCACAGAAAGTGGCCAGCCAGAAATGACCTAAAAGGATACGTGACAGGGAGAACTAAAACTTGGGATGGAGGAGCGCATGCTTTGACAGGCAAAAACCATCTACGTTCATTTTGTCTCAAAAAATACCCAACCACTCGCCACCCCCAGATTCCTTTCAGTATGTAGCGTGTGTGTTCGTCCACAGATGGCTGTGGTCGACAGATATTTCCAGGGGCTTGGTTTGGTTTCGTTGCGTTCTCCTGTGAGGCAGTGTGTCGTAATGGGAAAGTTAATGGACTGGGAGTCAGGAAGCGAGTTCAGCTCTGCCGCTGATCAGCTATGGGAGCTCAGGCAGATCACTGCTCCCTCTCTGGGCTTCACTCTCCATTGAAAATGGAAAGTTCTGGATCAGATGATCCTAACAGTGCCCTCCAGCTCTAGAATCCAAAGACGCATGACAATTATATAGGGGACAAAATGAGGCCCTGGAAAGGAGGACGTGAAACTAAGTGGAGAGGAGCCACGGTGGGAGGTAACTCCTCTGGAATCTTTACGGAGCATCCATAGGTACAGGTCGCTCTGCAGCAGTTACTGTCCGAAGGGGCACCCATTTATCAGCAGGTTGAAATGGGTTTTGAGGCGAATAGATTACAAAATTATACTTGGTTCTGAAACATATGGATTCACCAAAGAACTCTAGGTTCTACTCTACAAAGCTGGCCTGTTCCTGTCATTGTAGCTCTCTGTGGAGAAGGAGCAGCCCGGCCAGAGGATAAGTCACATCTTAGGCTCCTGCACTGGGGAAAGGGACCCTCAGCCCAGAAAGGGGACACGTAATTTGCCCATCTCTCCATCTGGTACCCCCTGCTTGCCTAAGAGTGGCCACGCCCTGCAGGTCTGTGGCAGCCGACAGAGCTGCTGATTTGGAGGCCCTGTTACTACCATACAGCCCAGGCACCCCAACACCTACCCATTTTAGTTTTTAATAAAGGGATCATTGACAGGTATCCTATTTTAAACCATGATTCAGTAAGTGGAATGTTTTTAAAGGGTGATCAGACAGTATTTTTTTTTAAGCAGCAAAAAATCCAAATAATTTTATACTTTAAAAGGTCAAAAAGAACAATTTATGTCATTGAAAAAAAAGAACCTAAAACTCATCCAAATAAAGATTAACTTATAATCCTGATAAGAAAATAAATTATATGTTTAGAAGTGGGAAATTTTCAGGTTCTATTAAATCCTTTTAGTCTGATGCTCTGGGAAGAACAAAAACTTGGACTGAGTTTTATCTGACCACAGAGAAAAGAAAAGCGTTTTCCTTCCCGGTGTGATGGCTCTTGATTAGCACAGAGAACACGCAGTGGTGACCTTGTGACAGCCAGAGTGTCTGGTTCCAGTTAAAACTGCCTCCAGCTTGCCCTGTTGCAGCAGCCAGTAGGAGCCTCACTGCCTTGCCTCCGTCTCGGGCACAGCTCCTCTTCCTGACCTTGCCCTTCACCTAGGTAGAGGACGCGCGTGTTCGCACACATCCCTCATGCTGCTTCTCTTGCCCCAGGACCTAGTTCCCCTAAAACAAGGACTTTGATTTGATCGCCTGCCTGTCCTTGGTCTGCAGAGTAACAGGCCAGTGGGAATGGTTGTCCTCCTCAGCACGTGCTCATGACTGCTGTGTGTGTGTCCTCTTGTCCGTGTCCTGCGCTGTCCACCCTGCCCTGCTGTACGTTGCTGGGATCTGCCCGTCATTAGCGTGCGGGACTGGCGCGGGCTTCGTTGAATGGCAGAGCAACCATGAGTAGTTCTTGTGTGGGGCTCGTGTTACACGGATGCTGCTTCTGGCAAGGACAACAGGTGTAAACTGTTCTGCTTTTCAAAATTCTTTGCCATTGAGTTAATATAAATACATACAATTCATGGGAAATTAAGAAAGAATATTTTTGGTTTCAGATAACCCCTACTAGGCAGTATGAACCAAGGAAATGTTTAATGAAACCACAAATGAAAATACAGTCCTTCTGACAAATGTTACTATAATGTAGAGCTATCTGACACTCACAGAGTTGACTTGGAGCTAATATTTGCTACTCATCTCAAGTTAAATATCAAGAGAAAACCTTTTAAGATAGAGCACCCTCTTTCAGACCATTCTTCCTGATGATGCTACCTGTTCTGCTGGACAGTTCTCAAAGAAGGTAAGCAAGAAATGGTCACCTGGACAGAGCTGGCTTCTGAAAAAGGTGGCCACAGCTTCCAACTCATTGCTGTTTCCTACCCTGCTCTGTCCCAGGGGCCATTATTTGCTACCGTAAGGAGGGTATTATGGTTTTCTCAGTAGAGCCAACTCTTTTCCTTGGATTTTGCAGCAGCAAGAAAGTTGGCAGCTGACTCATTGGGAGAGCCTAGACTTTACCCTCTTCCCTGCCAGCGGGTCCAACCCCGCCCTCCTGGAATGAAGGTTTTGGTTAGTAGACAGGTAGCTAAGTTAAAGTGAGTTTGATAGCCTCTTTCCTCCCTTATACATGAATGAATGAAGGGACTAACACACAGTACAACACCCTGAAGATAAAATCGGCAAGGCGAGGACCACAGGTCAGTCCCCACCCGGGCTTTCGCCTCTGGACTGTTGGAGGGTTCCCTGGATGTGTTTTGTATATTAATGTCTGCACTACGCTAAAGAACACACTGCAGATATGTCCATCCACAGAGTCTATCTGATTTTGTGTTTAAATGTATGTCAAGTGGCATCCTTATTTTCCCTTGTTTAAACTGCATAATTCTTCCAAGTGGCTTACCATATAGTGGTTAAAATTATGATTGTTTGAATAGAAACAGCCACAGATGCCTGGTGAAAAGTGTTTATGGAAATAGTTTATGTAAAGTAGAGAAAAGAGAAGATAATTGGGCATATTATTGTGGCTTGTCACTATTTACATTGTGAAATTACTGTTTTAATCATATTCTGGGAATTTATGAAGATGTATGCAGTGAGATACATACACAAGCATGCACCACCCCACACATATTTGTGACCTTCTTAACACAAGCATACATGTAAGTGTGACTAATTGTACAAACTCATATTTATCTACCCTGATTGTGGACGTTTTATTCTTAGTGTCTCATTTATCAGCTTGCAGCTTAGAAGGATAATACTTCATCTGTGCAAAGGAAAAGTTACCCCAGTAAGTAGGTTAGAAATCTATGAGAAAATATTAACAGGTTCTTCACTTTTTCTTTTTCACTTGTTATAAAACCTAGCAGTGTGGCTTGCACATAAATGATTTCTGCTTATGGTACTTGGCCTCTATTACTTTTCAGTACCATCTCCATAGCTGCCACAGAACATGTTCATTTCATGTTCATGGCTAAGTCCTTTGCCATTTTAATGATTTACTCAGTAATCTCACAGCTCCTTGGGTCTCTGTCGCTGAGGACCTTCGGAGAGTAAGGAAGCGTGGAGCACTTAGTAGTCACGCTCTGCACCGCCTCCCGACAGACCAGAGCTTTGTCACGCCTGTCACGTTCTTCCCACCTTCCTCATCCAAGTAGCATGGGAATCGAGACTGAATGGGAGGAAATAGTCCATCCATTTGGCCATTTCAAAGAAAAGCCCTATTCTTTTAAGTGGAATCATTTTATTTAACTTTCTTCAAAACCTCTGCTTCTACTGTCCAAAGCTTTTAGAGGTAATCAGGTACCAGCGGCTGAGTTGACAAGTGTTATCGTGGATATTATGATTATTTAATACAGAATAACATCAGGTAATTCATAGGAATTATGCTCAAAAGTTAAAATCTTCTTTGATGGTTCTTAAAATTCTACCATGTAACCAACTTCCTGTTCTACCATGGATTTGGCAAACATACTCCCCAGATTTTCCAAGATAGTTTTGGCTTTAAATATTGTCAGTGCACTGGTACTTGTTAGTACTTTTACCCTTATTTGTTGTTGAAATGGATGGTTAGGCCACGGAGGCGGCCACCCCTGGCTGGAGAGGCCAAGCCCTCCCTCGCTCACCTGCAGAGATCCCGACTCTGCCCCTTCAGCATCTCCACCCTTCCACGTATTGCTTCCCCTGCCACCTCCCTCCCCTTCCCCAGGCAGGCAGGGCCACTCGTGACTATCTCCTACACACATGGCACCAGCAAAAGCAAACAGAACCCTTCCAGAAAGCAGATTAGTCCTGAGGTGCAGTCCAAACACACAGCCAACCACTGTGGAGGGTAGCCAGGAAGCGTGGAGGACGTGGCTGGAATGCAGCTTGCTTGAGCTGCAAGCTTCACAAGAACTCTCTTTCGTCCTGAAACATCCATCCAATATTTCAGGAGCGTAAAGTTCATTCTGCTTCCATGTTTTAAGAGAAAACAAATTGGCGGGCAAAAGGAGGACAAAAATTCAACGTAGAAAGATAATTCTCCTGACCTAGACAACAAAAGAAAGCCCAGTCCTAGAGCTGAAGCCAGTTACAGGCACCAGCGAGCGGTGCAGGGAAACACCTCCCGTGCCCCTCGCCCTCTGCAGACGCCGTGTGAGTCACAGAGGCTACGAATCGTGGGAAGGCACTCGTGTGGGTCAGCTGACAAGGTATCGTAGCGATGCAGCATCTCAACCATTCCATGAGTGGCAGGGGATTTGGAGATGGTCATCAGAATGGCACTTCCATCTTCGTGCCATACTTGTTGGGCAGCTGGTGCCATGTAGCTCTGCAGGCTGCAACACGCACCTAGAACCACACACCCTGGGATATGAGTGGCATGGCGGGTCACCACTCTCTCTCCTGCTGCAATTCCTACCATGCGGAAACCTGAGTTTCCAGAGGATTGAGCCATGACTTGAATCTCTGTAATTCCTGGCACCTGGTAACAGCCTGACAGCAGGGAAACCAATGGAATTTACCAGTGGTGCCTGGCCTTCTCCCAAGTTACTTTGTACCCTCCTCTCACCTCTCTCAGCAAAGAAACACTGATGTTTCTTTGCATGACACAAATACTGGGAGGTGGGGATGAAATGAGAGCACTGGCGGAAAGTAAGACTGACTCCCCAGCTCTTGTGGCACGGCAGTAACGACAGGGATGGAGGGAAGAGGCGGCTGGGAGGCAAACGTGATTAGTTGGTGTCTGAGGGATCATTTGGAGTTATTGACAAGGACACACTCTTTCTAAGCTCTTTAACAGCACGCGCTTGCATGACTGGGGAAAAAAGAGAATAGACTCCTCGATAGTAAGAAACGTAAAGCAGGTCCAGCAGGACTTCTGCTGGCCCGCACCTCTCAGCCTGCCTGTACTCGCTGGGTCTGCCGGAAGGCACTTCCTCTGCCAGCAGTTGTCAAGTCCTCCCTCACTGCACCCCACCACCACCCCCCCACCGCCCCCTGTGTGTCCTGAGGAGTCCCACTCTGTGTCCTCTGCCCCGACACAGGCCTCAGGCACCACGGGAGTCCTGAGCTACTGAGCCGCGGTCTAATGCACATCTCACATGTTGTCCTTTTAATCAAAGAGATGAAGTTGGTAAAATAACAGAAGCCCCCATGGGGTCACTGGAACATTCCCCACCTCCTCTGTTTCCTGTGGGTGAAGCAGCAACAGTGGAGGTCTGATTCCCCTGGGGAATGTCCCATGGCCCTTAGCTGTCCTCTGTTCTCACGGGACTCCTGACCCATTTTTGTCATTTAGACATCTCTGCCGTTTTCACATCTCTAAGCAGTAGCCCTGATCCCAGCAAGAGAGTCCTTAATGTTTTCAGTAAGTAAGTTCTTCTCAGAAACATTGCTTTAAACTGTAATCATAAGGGGAAGCCGAGGCAATTGTGATGTCACCTCTTCTATTCTCTGGGTTCATTTAGAAGTTAATGCTTTAAAAGTGTTGTTTGTTTTGACTCAATATTCAGGGAAAGTGTGACACAGCCAGCAGCCATAATAGAGCAAAAGAGTAGCCAGGATACAAGGGAAAAACCAAAAAAAGTCCACTGGCCAACATCCAGTTCACATCAGTTGATAGCCAGGATCCAGCCTGCAGACAGAGGCGTCCCTTTAGGTGACTGCAAAACATGGCGTGGAGCTTTTTTAGTTACTGGGCAATGATTAATACCGCAAATGTGCACACGCGCAGAACTATTTGCTGCTGAAAACTGCACCATCGGTTTCTGGTCTTTGATAATAAGTAGCTTCAGTTCTCTGCATTTATGGGACAGGTCCCCATTTCCTCCTGTGCCTCAATTCTTAATCAGCTGGGCTGCTTATTCCTAAGATCCTAGTCCCTGACGACATCCTTAAACTGTGTAGGAAAGCCAACTGATGGAACTGCTGACTCACTAGTTTATAGGGTACAGAGCTTGTCTTTGCTGCCATTTCCTCATCAGCTTCAGGTATAAAAGTTTTATCCCTTTTTCCCCAAACCCTTGAGCCATCCCCTGGCTCCTCAAAGAGCCCAACAAATGGATGTGAGTGTACACGTTGCAGGCCTGTGCCACTAAGGTTTTTTTCACATGCTTCTAAGCTCTGAGCAGTAGAAGGCTTTTATTTCCAAAAGATGACGGTACTTGCCAGGAGCACATCGCATGGGATTAAGACGTGTTGTCTCACTGTAGTGCCTCAGCGCGTTGTGGTCACTGGCCTAGGGAGGGAGGGCTGTCATTGCTTAGGTCTTTTTTTTTTTGCATTATGATTTATTTCTTCATGGTTTTGTTTTTAATTTCCTGTTGGTGTAATTGATGTGCTAGCTGCATGTACTTGCTGTTGTACTTGTGTCAAATGATTCTCTAACTTCCTTTGGAAAGCACTAATGAATAAGTGCTATTTCTCTTCTCTATTGTTGGGTTTTTTGTAAAGTTGCTCAAATGCTCTCAGGTATGGCGGCTCTGAATGGAGGACTTGGCGCCACAGGCTTGACGAATGGTACGGCTGGCACCATGGACGCCCTCACCCAGGCCTACTCAGGAATCCAGCAGTACGCGGCTGCCGCGCTGCCCACGCTGTACAGCCAGAGCCTGCTGCAGCAGCAGAGCGCCGCGGGCAGCCAGAAGGAAGGTAGGTGCCGCCCTCGGGCAGGGCCTGCAGTGGCCAGCCCAACACGGAGCGTTGGCCTTTAAAGCACACTTAGAAGGTAACAGATTGAACCTGTGTCATAAGAGAAATCAAAGAGTTTATTTCTTGGTTTTTTTTTTTTAAAGACATATAAGCCAGTATGGTGGTGCACCCCTGTGGTCCCAGCTACTCGGAAGCCTAGGCAGGACCTCCTGTGGCCTTGAGGCCACATCTAGCCTGGCCCTCCAGATTTCCAAGTGCAGCCCCTCAACCGAATACAGACATCACAAAACAAATCCCTTTATGAAAAGGATTGTGTTCTGTAAAATTTGGATTCGGTCGAAAAAGCCACACTCAAGAATCCCCAAGGCCACAGGTTCTCCACCCCTGTGTCTCTTCAGATGAAGTTCTCATCTGTTATGTGTTTACAAACAATTATCAGTTGCTACCATCACCGTATGACCAGGAACCTCCCTGTCCCCAGTCAGCAAGGGCCATCAATTCCTCTCTGTACACTCCTCCTCAATGGAAGGGGGTGAATCACTACAGGCTTCTGTGGGGGAAGCTCGCTCTCCCTCCTGTATTTCCCAGGTTTTTCAAAGTCCACATGGCCTGTGATTGTGTGGCTGCCTCTCAGTAGACAATGGTTTTTCAGGTTAATGATAAGCTCCACGGTTAGGATTGACTTGGTCTTTGTTTAATTGGGGGGGGTCTTATGGGAAAGCAAGGAAGTGATTGATCGCCTTGCTTCTGCACCAGTGAAGCAAAATAAATTTCAGGAAGTTAATGCTAAGAATAAATTAAAGCTAATTATGAAATGGTTAATGAGCTAGTCCAAATAAGAATAGTTTGTCATTCTTCCTTTTGATTTCTTCTTCCTTAATTGAAGTTGCTTTCAAGCAAAATCTGTAACATGACAGTTATTTTTTTCCTGACTTGTTTGGAATATGGTAAAAGAAGCTAGAATAGGGAAGTACTAAAGTTTAAAATTTTTTTCCTTCTCCTTTACCTTCCTCCCTCCATAGTTCCAAACGGCTTTTGTGTGAATACTTTGACTTTAAACATGGTGTCGTGGAAGAAATAGACTAGTCAAGTTGTGACTTTTAAGGGAACATAGCCTTAAAAGATACTCACATGTTTTTTAAAAGGAAAAGTTTTTTCTTTAACAGATTATTAAAAAATGAAAGATACATGAAAGTCTAAGTTAAACTCTCGTGACTCTTGTAGGTTTCGTAACCATCCACCACTGTTCAGACAGCTGTGGTTCAGCAGGCATGTGAGAGAGGCCCCTGTCATAACCACCACGTCTTCCCAAAGAAAAGCCTGTGTGTGTGCGCCCCCTTCTTCCTGTGGCCTGAGTGCCATGGTGACAAATAAGGGCAGTAGGTGAGGTCCTGTAAAAGATATCCTCAGACAGGACGCAAAGCCTCCCCACCCCGCAGCAGCTTTAGGGAATGTTGGTGACTTCCTCATTGTGTAGCAAGGCCTTACAGCAACTACAGAACCTGTGGCAGTGACAAGCGTCAGCCACCAGAAGACTCAAAATGCAATGAATGGTTCAGGGACCAAGTATGGGCGTGAAATAGTATTTTGTGAGTTGCTTCACCCCAGCCCACTACCCTTTTGAGATTAATAAAAAACAGGTCAACATAACTGTTGCAACTCCTGATTTAGGTATGTGGGCTACCAGTAGCATGGTTTAGGGTTTTTATTTTTTTGGTGGTGGTAGTGACAGGTTTAGGTTTTTAATTCATCTCCCACCTTCTCCTGTCTATCTTCTGATCACCTTCTCCTTGCCCAGTTCATATGTGCTCAAGAAATTTAAACCACCTTAACATTAGTTTAAGTAAAAATGTAATGAATTCTAATACAAAATAAATTTTCTGCTTCACAGTTCTGTTAGCCAAGAGAGCTGAAAGTAGACTTGATGGATGTAGTCATGTGTCCTGGAGTGTTCTCTCCCCACAGGAAAGTGAGCCAGTCTGGCCTTGTATAAAAAAAAAAATAAATGCTTTTAGTTTTTTCTCAGCTAAATCTTCCAAAGGGTCATGGCATCTTTGTGCAGGAAGGTTGCTCATCTTTCTTGCCCTCCCCAAATATGCCCTGACCCCAAGTACCTTCCCATCTGCCTTTATCTTAAGGAGGAAGTAGAGTCCCCAGGAGCCCAACAAGAAGCCAGTGAGTGCTGGAGTCTGACACACTTTCATTCCCACAAACGTCCCCAGTGCTTTGTGCTGGAGCAAACGCCCCATGAGAAACACAAGATAGTGACACCCCAAGCAGCCAGGAGCAACAGTAGGACACAGATAGTGTGTACTGGGAGAATCTGACCGACTGGAGGGTGATTTGGGAATGGGATTGTTCTACTTACGGAGGTAGAGGAGAAGATGAAAACATAGGTGGAATCCTCAAAAAAAATTTTTTTTGCTCCAGGTATCAGCCACCTTAGCTGCATACAAGGGAAGTTTTCTATGTGAAGTCACCTTTTCCTCACTGTAACATTAAAAACTTGGGGAGGCGGTCTATACCAAATGTTGTAGCCATTTTTTCTTGGGGGAAAAAAAAAAACAAAAGGGCAAAGCCTAGCTGGGTTTGTTTACCTGTCTCTGTATGTTCCTGGTCTGTCTGGCATATATGTATTCAGAAGGTGCAGCATTCTAGAATGTCAGGGTCATGCAGGCCTACCCACTAATCTGTCATGTGCATTGAAACTGCATTTTCTCCCCAGGCTTGAGGAGGTGAGATGTACTTCACAATCGGATTGGGTCCCATTAATCCTCATTGGTGCATCTGAATCTTTCATTTCGCAGCAATGTCAAATCTGGGGGTACAGGTTTGACCAGTACACACATTGCACAGGCTGTGCCTGGCACAGTAGCACTTGGAACCTCCCTTTCCAGGGTTTTGGGTTTTTGCATCTATTTTTTTAAAGTTTTTTTAAGCCATAAAATATTTGGGATGTGAGTCCCAGTGCTGTCCCTTCATAATACAGAGTGCCTGGCTGGGCACAGTGGTCCCCACCTGTAATTCCAACCCTTTGGGAGGACAAGAGTTCAAGACTAGCCTGGGCAACATACTGAGATCCCATTTCTACAAAAAGAAAACAGAAAAATTAGCCAGGGCTGCAGTGAGCTATGATTGTTACCACTGTACTCCAGCCCAAGTGACACAGCAAGAACCTGTCTCACAAAAAAAAATGCCTCCATGGAATGTGGATATGTCCATGGAAAATGTAAGCAACACGAAGTTAAGGTAGTCATGCAGACACATTTTTAAATAAGAAATACTTCATCTTTTTCACTAGAATACTTTTTTATGATCTATCAGTGGGGGGCAGGGGAAAGGGAAGAAACTTGGTTTGGTATTTCTTTGCAAAGATATTTATCATTTTTACAAAGTTCTTTTTAACCCCATTTTTCTTCAACCCATACACACAGATACCCTTGCCCCACTGTCTAGGAGACCCATCACAGCTGTCCCCTGGGCTGCCCAGTGGGGCAGGCCTGATTCCTCTCCTAAGAATGCCAGCTCAGGATCCACGAACCTGCTGGCTGCAGAAGTTACCTTAGCGGTTCTGTGAGCTCCCCTTCCTCCCAGGCACCACGCCCGGAACGTCTCCACCCAGCTCACTCAGGTTTCCTCCTTCGTCCTTTTTTGCTTCTTTTAACTTGCAGTTAGCTGTAGTGGAGGTGGGCAGAGTGAAATGGAGAGGAACGTGAGGGAGCTTACCTCTCCACTCGGTAGAGCTAAGATGACCGTCTCTGTTCCCTGTCTGTGCTGGGAAAGAACAGGTAGGCACGCAGGGTGGCTTCTCCATGCACTGCGTTCATTTCCAGGCCTAAGGCCCAGGGGGGCTGATGCCTGTCAACGCTGAGACTCAAGCTACTTCTTCCCTGCCTTGACTCATTGCCAGTCATATCTGATAAAGATGATTATTAGACTGTGTGTTAAGAGATGTGCAAATCCAAACTGGCTGGATAACTGATTGAGCAGCCTACTGCTGCATCGATTATTCTAAATGGCTGCAGGTGGTGAGCACAGAACACCCTCTTCTCTGAGAGCCGGTCTGTACGTGAGAGAGAACATGGCCACTGAGGAAGAGCCCATGCCTGGGTTCTCTGCCCTCATCCTGCCACCTTTAACCCAAGAGGTGACTCAAATGTGTGCTAACGCACGGTAGTACACGTGACCCACAGAAGACCATCAGTGAGAAGGAAGTCATTGGTAGCCAGTATGTCTTTAGAAATCAGGAGAATCTGAAGGCCAAGTGCTTTCCTGAAAGACATCCCAGCATCTGACATTCACCCATCTGTTCATTCTCTTTCTGTAAGAGGAAGCTGAATGTACAGCCTACCCATTAAAGTATTCCTAAGCAGCAGCTTTGGGAACTAACACTCAAGGGATACCTTACTCTGATTTTTTTTTTTTTTCCCTCTTTAGGTCCAGAGGGGGCAAACCTCTTTATTTACCACCTTCCACAGGAGTTTGGAGACCAGGACATTCTGCAGATGTTCATGCCTTTTGGAAATGTTATCTCTGCTAAAGTCTTCATTGACAAACAGACCAATCTGAGCAAGTGCTTTGGTATGCAAAAGAAACCAAGCTGAGCTGAAGTACTGCAGTAGGTTCCCAAGTGGAGCGTCATGGAAGGGAAAACATGAATGACACATATTTTCAGTCACGATGAGGCCTTCCCTGTGTAGTGGTGGTTTCTGCTTTTCCGGATGGACAGAAGCAGATTTGGGCAAAATTGTATGATCAAAAAAAGGGGAAGAGGCTATATAAAAACAATCTGGGAAATTAAACTAAATGTCCCTATATTAGGTAATGTTCTATGCGATACTAAAGTGTCTTACTATGCATAGTTAATAATCTGTCATTGCAGACACTTTGCCACTGCAAAGGCCCCGCCCCATGTGTTACATGACTCACACACCAGGGTTGTGGGTCACTTAGGGGCTCATTTGGCATCTTGACATACACACACGGACACCCCTTCATGAGCAGTGACGTGTTAAGGTTGCTGCCAAAACACAGCTCTGCACGCACAAGGGTGAGCAGTTGGCGTAGCTCATGGTTACACGGGACACTGTATTCTGATAGCATCTGAGGGCCAGAGAGCCCAGCAGTGTGCGGGTCTCGTGAGAACACTGGAAAGCCCAGCTTTGCAGTGCACGGAGGGGCCTCGCCATCCTCCTTCCAGCAGCCCGCCTCCTGTGGTGCTTTCTGCTCCCTGAGAGAGTAAGGAAAACTGGCTGTGTGGGCTGCTGCCTTACACCAGGATAACGGCCACTATATCTATTCCTTGCTTTTTATTTTTCAAATGCTTTTGGCCCCCAAAGTAGTTGAGAGGCCAGGATGCTCAGAGTGTATATTAACTTGTTTGGCAAGCTCTTGGCCCAGTCAGAGTTAGAACATTTGCTGTAATCACTTTTGCAATTTAACAATTCATGTTGGTAGTAGGTACTAACAAACAGTAGCATAAAACAAAGCAGAGTAGATGTGGGCCAGCAGAAACAGAATTGTGTATTATAAAGAAAAATGTCAAAGGTAGGGTGGGTCTCAAATAGCCAAAAACTCAAACTTACTACTTGGCTGACTGGTAACGGCTGTCAGTCCAAAGAGAATGTCTTGGCTTCTAAAACTCCATTATCATAGTGTCTTTCTAGTTTCTGTGCTATCAGCCACGAAGGTCTGAAGCCTCTGTTGTTAGGGGAATTAGCATGTCAACCATTTAAAGTCCCTGTTTTTCCCCTAGCAGAAAGGCTGTCAGCCTGAACCCATTACACGATTGCTGCAGCGGCAACTCTATAAACCCCTTTGTGATGGATCATGAGAGAGTGAAATGGAAATTAAATTGTTATATGGGGGTCGGGGTAAGCATGAGCTTACCTTTGGGAGGCTTCCCTGCACCAGGTTTTGAGGCAGAGTTTCATATTTTTCACAGCTAAACAATGTTCTAGGCTTATTCGGAGATTGGAAAGGGATTGTGCTTCATGATTTGATTTGAGAAACCATTTGCTGCCTTGACAAGAGATTATATTGGCCCACAATAATGCAAGCTGTTAGTATCAGCAGACAATTATTTAGCATTAAGGACTGTTTTCAGTTTGTATTAAAAGCCTTCGCACCCAGCTTTCTCAGTGAGCAAGCCTAGGTTCTTGGGGCCCGTGGTTTGCTAGATTGCTAGCCCGGTTCTTTCATTCTCACCTCCTGGCCAGGTTTTATTATCATCTCACCACTTCTGGATAAAGACCCAGAAGGGAAGAAGAAAGTAAAGTCATAGCAAAAAAATCTTGGATTCAAGCTCCCAATTATTGGGAATTAGATTTAATAAAAATTTAAACCACCATTTTGCAACATAGCCTGCCCACAAGAAGCTCTGCCTCATGCCTGTTTTTATCAGGTGAGAAGAAAACGCTGCTGAAAGTACATTTACATCCTTTTCCTCCTCTAGTTTGTAAAGGAATTTTCTCTTTAGCTTTAAACTGTAATAGTAGATAGATGGAGATGCTCAGTATAGAACCTTCTGAACAGCTGATGTTCAAAACTGGAAATTAAATGTGTCCAGTAGCTTCCTGTGCCCACTGAAAGAGTAGGCAGCACTTCCATAGCATTAATTAAAGCTTTGTTTATACCCTGCTGCCACCTCACCCCCAGTGACAGAACCATGTGATCTGGGTCTTTGCAGAGCAGCATTAGTTTTTTTCAAAAGCACACACCCTCCCTACTGGTTTTGGTGGTGGTGGCTGCTTCTGAGAGATACTGGGAATTCTCTTAACATGGTTTTAAGCTCTGTTTGTTTCCCAAGACTTTGGGAGATGCAAGGTACAGATTTCCTTTGTGCTAAATTTACTGGAGCTTTGAAAGTGGACACTGAGAGAAAAAGAAAAGCCTAGCATTTCCCTGGGTTCCCATCAGTAATAACTTCAAAATGTTAAAAATCAGTATAGCTTATTTTAGAGTGAATTCAGTAACTGACCCATCCTCTAGTCAGACAGGTGTGGGCACAGACAGGCAGGCAGGGTCTTTGGCAGTATCGACTACCTTCCAGCCTCTCCCTGAAGGATCCTGCCTTAGAAGCCTCACCTGGTTGGGACCCTTGGCCCTCCAGTGTTTATACCAGTACTTGCATGAGTAGCGCTTACTTCCGTACCTGGGGTTTGTTCAGAAAGATTCTGAAGGACTTTAAACACAAATTTGACTGAATCCGGTAGACAGACTAAATTCAACCCCCCAAGTTTGGGATGTTAGTGTTCTGGGAGGGCTTGTTCTGCCAGACACCAGATTACCTGGCCATCGGCTCATGCACTGCTGCTTCTTTGCACGTGCCCCGTCCACTCACAGCAGGCACACGGTCAGCGTCACAGAACTGCCTGAGCCCCTGGGGTTGGCACTAGCTGATGCAGTTCCCTTGAGCCCGGCCCCCTCTTCTGCTCCGCTTCCTCTCCAGCCTGACTCCCTGTCCCCTTTCCCTTGGTGTCTTCCAGGTTTCGTTAGCTACGACAATCCAGTCTCTGCACAGGCTGCTATCCAGGCTATGAATGGCTTTCAGATCGGCATGAAACGCTTGAAGGTGCAGCTGAAGCGCTCCAAAAACGACAGCAAACCTTACTGATCCTAACCCTAGAGGCTCCCTGCTCTCATTTTAGCTTTCTTAGGGTAAGTCCCAAGAGCCAGCCTGTTCTCAACAGGGGAGGCAGAGGAGGACCACATTGCCAACTTTACCAAGAGAGACGGTTATTTTTACAATAAGGCCTCCATTTCCCCACCCATTCCCCCACCCAGTTTGCCATAATTACAACTTGGGCTACCTTGTTTCTATTGAGTAAATTCCTCCTCCAGTTGTGCCACTGTATTCTCCTTTGTTTTGCAATTTGAATCTCCTTTGACCTTTTTTTTTAAAATTTTTTTGTTTTCATTTTTGCTTTTTTAAAGAAAAACATACACACAAGTAAATGCCATTTTGAGAATTTAAAAGGCAAACAAATGCTAATGTGCAATTCTAACTCTGAAACCACTGGTGCCCCAGAGCACTGCCTGGAGAATTCACCCCTCCTTGTCTGGCGCCCACCCCTCCAGAGGGCCCTGGCGCTTAGAGGTTACCGTGGGGCCTAGCGCGAGGGAGAAGCACTTACTCAAAACAACACAAAACGTCTTTCCACTACATTGGTTTGTTTAATAAGTAGGATTTGATTTTAGGGTTCAAAGAAACATGACATTTATTGGTCAGATTATTACACTGGTTGTCTATTTTGTTATTTTATTTTAGTTTTTAGAAAGGATTAATGTAAAAAAAGATTTAGAGATCTGTTTCTTAAAGCTACAGGGTTTAAAAATAAAATAAAAATGAGTGAAAATACTTGATGTTTCTTGAAAGATAAATTTAATAATAATACATAAAAAAGAAAGCCACAGGCCTGTAAATTTTATTTGTAAAAAAAGCATTTCTATTTTTATACAAATTTTTACTGCCTCAGAAATAATGGAAGTTATTTATTGCCTATTGTTAACTTATTGGGTACCTAAAGAGCAGTTCTCTGTCTAGCTAGAACCTTCTGAAGTAGTCTCTAGAGGAATTGTTCTAGGAATGGGCTTTTTTTCACCGTTGAACCCTAGACCTACAGTTCATGCTTATCCTCTCGTGTTTGTATCTGTCTAATTATTTTGTTCGTAACTTCCATTATCTAGTTTACAGTTCAGCCGTCTGACTCTCCCCGTATGTCACATTTGTTGAAACTGGACCCTGTCCCTCACCCCAAAACACCCAGAATCCATCCCTTCTCTCTCTCTCTCCAGATGGATTCTCTTGGGGTTTCATTGTGCTGTGGATTAAGAGTGTAAGAAATGCAAATTATGTGAATGGCTCGTAGACTCCCTAATGACCTAAGATTTGCATTAGTTTTTCTCCTGCACCCTTAAAAGTAATTTTGTTGCTGCTGCATAGATTCTGTGTAACTTTTTACTCTTCCTTGTTTTTTCCCTAGACATCTTCATGCCCGTTAGTTCATCGTTTGCCTAGCATGTCCCTGTGGCGTCTCAAAAAAAAGTTTCATCGTCCCGTCATTGTTTCTGATGTCTTTCTGACCTCACATCATATTTGGTTCTCCTACTGACTTTTGATCTAGTTTGACCTTTGAAATTTGCATGTGACCTCATCTAGCTATGAATTCTGGGAAGTCAATGTGAAAAACATTGCTGCATTCATGCAAGACTGAAATTTATTATTAGACAAATTAATTATAGAAAAAACAACCTGTGGCAAAAATGTTTCTCTCTTATTTTTTTTTCTTTTCATAAAACAGACTTGAAAGTATTATACAGGGATTGGCATTCTTCCCGGTCACTGGTAACAATAGCAATATGTGTCCAGGGACACAGAATGTTGGTTTCTAACAGACTACTTCCAAAAACAGTTTGAGAAAAAAACTGTCTGATTTTAAGTCTCTAGAGGTCTGTAATAGTTTTTACATTTTTCAGGCAGTGTAAAGTTTTTTGATAAGGCCATTTTAGGTGGCTCACTTTCTCATTAAGATATATATATAGAACCACTTTTTGTAGATTAGTATAAGAAAAATATTTACCCTGTTTTGGGGCAAATGCTACCTATTTGTGTCACCTTTTGCTGAACTGACTCACAGTTAGACAATCCATGGTTTAATGCACATGAAATTACCTATATTTTATACTGTTTCAATGTACAGGAGAAAGGTTACTGTAAACTGTGTTATGTTGGTGCTTCTGTGAATTAAGTTGTGGTTTCATCATGAGTCTTATGGTCTTAATGTTCTTTGTTGATAAGACAAGTTTAGAATTGGTTTACTTAAAACAAAAAAGAATTTCAAAAAAAAGTTGTTTGCTTAAAAAAATTTCATGTGAGGGGGGGAAAAAAAAAAAACCTATTCCAGAATAAGTTTTGTGTTGGCTTGTGAAGCATTGATGTCATTTTTTTTTTTTTATTGTGGACTATTTAGATGTGTTTGTGTTCAGCAAAATGTGATCTGTTTTTTTTTCTTTTAAAGAAAAAAAGTGAAAATATATAGTGCCAAATTCCAAAGGTACTTCCTTCCTAGAGCTTCAGTGTGTTTCTTGTGAGAAGTAATTTGATAACATGGGTATTTTATTATGTGTTTTGTATAAAGCCCTAATATTTAAAAAAAACAAAAAAAAGGTTAAAAAGTTTGTTAACTTGCTATCCTGTGGTCTTGTTGCCTGGAATTGTTATTGTTTGTTACTTCTCTATGATGTTTTTTGTAAGACATTGTATAAGTGCCCACGTCTCACTTTTCTAACCACTCTGCACACCCATGCTGTGAAGGCAGCCTCACCATGTACTTTCTTCATAATCTATGGAAACCTCTAAGGTGAGAAAGTTTTGAACTTTTAACCCTTTCTACCCAGAGCTATCTGGAATGTTGATAATTTTTTATACTGTCATAATTTGAGTTTTAGGGTCTTCCTAATTTGGATTTCCCCCCAATATCTTCTCAGTTGTATTTTGTCTCTACTGCTAGGAAAAAACTGCACAAGGCAAAAAGATATATTTTTTTTCTCCTATACCTTTGATTTTTTTTGAAAACAATCCCTAATGTGCTTACTGGCATGTCTTCTTTAGTTTTAATGAAAAACTGTTTAAGAGGAAAAGGAGGTAGATTCAGCACCTAAGTAATCCTTAAAAATTCTGTATGCTTTTGAGATCAGGTTCAGTGGTATGTTGTTTTTTTGTAGACCTTGCAGTGAAATGACTTTGTGGTGGGATAGGCTCTTGTCTTGAGGGGTTTTGCTTTTGTTTCTCACATATTCCTCAGTGATGTTTCTAATCAGCCATTGTGCTGGGGATTCTCTGACCTCAGCAGATACCTCTGAGTAAGCAAGGTGTCTGGAGTTAGAAACCCGCAGTCCTTTCCTTTTTATTTTTTTAAGTAAGGGAGACTGATCACATAAGTAAAGCTCAGTTCTTTATCACAGTTACTGACCAAATACCTAGCACCAGTTCCTGCTGCCACTTTTTAAAGTGCCATATAACTCTTTTGCTTTCTGTGAATAGGTACCTTGTTGTCTTGACAAATCCTAATGTCATGCCTACAGCCTTCCCGAAAGCATGCCCTGGAAGCTTCTTGGTTTCACCTCCCCTACCTTGTTTGATCTCATGTGGATGTGATAGCCCTGGGATGGAAAGGACTAGCCTCTACTGATGCAAAAAAAAAAAAAAACAAAAGTTTCCTTCTTATAGCACATGCACTTAAAAATGACCCGATTTGTATTATCCTCACACGTGTTTACTACTGCTGGGGCCTTCCTTCATCCTTTGAGGGCTATTTTGTACTTCCTGCAGCAATCAGCTTAATAACAAAAGTTATCGAACGTCTCTCTCATATATGATACAGACACAGAAACACAAGTGAACACCATCTGAAATTCTTAGTTTCATTCAGAATCTATTTATCAATTACCTAATCACACACACTTTTCTGATGTCTTCACTGATGCACACTGCCCTTCTCTCCCCCAGAGGAGAAAGAGTGCAGCTGGCAGGAGCTCAGGACGGGCACTTGTTAAGGGATTCTTATTTGTAAGCAGCCAAGACAGTACATTTGGGGGAAGTCTTTTTTTTCATTGCTAAAAAGATAACCCTTCTCAGAGACAAACTGTCCTTTTATCCACTTTATCTTTTAATATCAAAAGCTGCAAGGATGCAAAAGGCCTGTGCCAGAAGGAAAAACACACAGGGAAACTGCTTTTTTAAAAATCAAGTGTAGAGAATAGTCATTTTTAAACTAAATCAGAGAATTGTGATAAAATGGCAGTCCTCAAAGGTGTAACAAGTTCATCTTTCTTTCACCATAGGGGTTATAGTTCTTTGGCTTGTGCTACTCTGGAACCATTTTACTGTTTGTTTCTATTATTAAGTGCTAATTAAAAAGAAATAAAATTTTTAAAAAACCTGTAGTTTCATTACCTTTTTGAATAATGTCATACAAAAAATGTATTTGTGTTTTTTTGTGCTGTGAGAATTGTTTGTAGATTAACAATATCATTTTGTTTAGAATTGCAGAATAGTTTTTAAATATTGTCTGAGAAAAGCCAAAGTTAATGCAACCTAGTGGAAACTGTAAGACCATTTGAGTATTGTTTGTTTTATTGATACATTTGGATTTTGTTGTCTGATGGAATTTGAGCCAAAAAAAAAAAATACGCAGGCTTTCCTATTTCTACAACTGATTGTACTTATGCATTTTGTACCAGTGAAACTTTTTATACTGGAGATTAAAAAAAAATGGAAATTTTTGTGGCTTACTCTAGTGGGCCCCCTGACTGATTTCAAGTTTGCTTTCTGGTTGGTAGAAAGAAAGTTGCTTTTCTTTTAAGAATTAAAAACTTTGGCTTGATTTCTTTTTTCCCTTTGCTTATATCTAGCATTAGAATTTTGTCTTAAAATACAGCGGTAAGTTTCACTTTTTATTCTGTATTGTGCAGTTACACAATAAGGTAATTAGATTTAGAAGTACTCAGTCACTTTAAGTGGATAAATGTATTAGTTAAAACTTTAGGGGTTTGCTTTTTTGCTGTTTAGATCAAAGTTTTTTCTGATTCTTCTGTCCTCATTGTGAACATAACCGTGTAGTTGAAACAGTCAAACTTATTTTTGTAATGTATGTTATTGTGTGATGCGGTTTTTTGCTTCTGTCTCCAATATTAAACCATTTTCCTAATACTTGTTTCTCTCTCTGCGTGTTGTATTGTTGGCAGTCATTATATGTTGGTGACACATCTACACACCTCGCTGTTTCACGTATCTGTTTTTTTCTCTATGTTGTGTAAAAAGATACAGTCGATTCCACTTAAGTGAATATCTGATTTCAGAAAGGGGAAATTGCACACGAGCCACCTTTGAATTACGTACAACAGCCCACTTTAGCCACTGCTTCCACGATTACGGTTCACCGAAATAACTGCCTACCGAGTTGGATTTGCCAAGACATTTTACGGTCTTCTGACCTCTCTCCCCTCCGTATACTACACACCCGCAGTGCTTCACGGTCATTAAAAACTGCTGCTGGGGTTTCTGCTATCTACCCCACAAGTCCAGAGGCCTGTGATTACAGTCAGACTCTTCCTAGAAACTAGTCACCTTTTTAGAAGAGCTGAGTTCTCAAGGGAAGAAAATAAACTTAGACTTGTGTATATTCTTCACCGGCTATATCTGTTGCCATCCATCAAAAGACAGGTACAGAAAAGCCATTTAAATTATTTCTACACATTAATTGAATCCTGCTCGCTTTAATTATTATAACTAACAAACAGCTGAGGAAAAAGAAATTTCCAAGTGCTCAAATGGAAGCTGCACTCAGTCTGGGGTGGGGGGAGGCACAGTTCACAGTATATTGTGCATGTCCACATGGAAGCTAATAATGCCACACGCATCTACACACTCCCTCCTGGATGAACATGCAGTTAAGGATAAGCCTTGTCCACACTATGGCCCCAAGCCCAGTTATTACAAAGATAAAGACCCTTTTCCACCCATCTCCTATGCTCAGGAATCTGATTGCTCTTAAAGTGCTCTTAAAAGATTCCATTGATGTCTGCTCCCCACGTCTTATCTCTCCTTCCGATTTTTCAGACGCACGAGCTGACTCAGGCTATCCAGCACCAGGCAGCCTTCCTCTGGGTGCCAGTGAGATTCCTCCTGTAGGTGCTCAGGCTCTTTGCCCTCTCATTCCACAGCCCCTCTGGCCCAAGATTGTATTTCTAGTCGGCTCAACAATAGAGGGGCCTGGTGAGGGGAGGAAAGGAGGCTCTCCCCCAGGCTGGACACCTAGTGATAGTGACGCCACCAGCTCCAACCTGCACGGATGGGAGCTGACTTCCTGCTGATACTTCTGCTTTCAACCTCCTCATAGCCTTCACCAGTGAGCCTCTGAAAACCCACTGCTTAACATGAGTGGGAAAAGATGGCTAAGGGTGTGATTTCTTTTTTCTTTTTTTTTTTGGGGGGGGGATTGTGGGTTGGGACATATGAGGGAGGGATGGAGGGTGATTAAATTCTCTCCAAGGTGCAAGTGTTTACTTTTTAAATATATAAGTACATATAGCCACCATTTGGCACAAGGCAAAATACTCATGCTAAGTAAAGGAAGGGAAAGACAAAGCCAGTTTTTGTTGCTTTGGAAAAGCAACAAGAATAATAATTCTCCAAAGAAGGGGACGACAATGCTAGTTCCTTTAAGCACTTATGACTGTAAAGTTAGTCCCTGCTTAAATTCATACCTATGATTTCCATTTTGTACAACACCACTGCAGTGTGAGCAAGGTGTACGTGTTTGCCACACATGGACCACCTTGAGAAATTACAGAATCGTCAACACTGACCTTGCTGATGGAAGCCACACGTCTGCCCACCCCACAGCAGCTGTATGCGGTCTGTGGGCTGGGACTCGTAGCTGGCAGGCTAGGAAACACAGTGATCGTCAATGTACTGTGAATCGTTCCTGATAAGTGAATAAAACAT